AGCAAGTTTTAAAGACAATAGACAAATCAAAAAATAATCCTGGTCAGCATACAGCCTACATTAAATCAATCAGAACACTGCTTTTCAGGAATGAGACTGTATATTGTACAGTTACAATAGTATGGTTACAGTACCATCCTATTGTATGTATTGTTACAATACTACCTTCGGCCAAATTCAGTCAGATTCTAACATCTGTTCAGTCTCATTTTTCACACTGTTAAGAATTAACAGAGACAGTAATAGATATATCACCAACTAAAAAGTAAGCATTTCAGATTTGATTGTTCTTTATTTGGTAAAAAGACTATCAAGGGATATGGAGCAATTAGAATAATGAAAGGGAACTGGACTATCAACCTTAACAGAGAATCATCCCACCAAGAGGGAAGTGTTTTATTAGAGCCAATGTCTCCTTACAGCTCTGTATTTGTTGAACATTACCTACAGTTGCACAAAGCCATAACCTGAGTTCTTCCTTGTCTGACTATTGTGACAGACAACAGAATGATACACGTGCCAATAACTGTTCTCCTTTTTTGTGATTTCAGCTCAGCAGAAACTCTTTAATTCCTGATCAGGTCTGTAGCATCATCTCCAGGGGCACTGTGGAAGTCAAACATATATGAACACTAAAACATCATTTTTCTAATCCTAGCTGCAATGTGTTCCAGTTACTGGGCTAAATTCCTTAGCCCACTCACATGCAGCATCTGTTACAAGGATTCTGAAAGCAGAATCAACACTAGTGTCAAAAGCATCACCTGTATTTCTTATTCTTCCACAATGCATACAGAGACTGCTCAGTCTTAGGACAGTCTCCTAAGATGTCAACTACTGTAATGCTCCAAGTCCTGGTATTTGCTTTCTAATAAGCCTGCAGAAGTCTCCTCCAGTTCCCTTCCATCCCCAATGTGCTTTTCATTACTTCATCTGGAACGCTTACAAGAAGATGCAGGGATGGGAGTGAGTTTCAAGTCTGTTTGGAGAAGAGGAGACTGAGGGGTGACCTTATTATTCAAGTCTAGGTAAGAACAGTTTAGTAACTAAGGTATAACACAAATCACTACTGCTACCACCAGTAATAGTAATGATAAAGGAAATAACAAGGGAAGAGAATACAACACCCCATCACCAGGCGACCGATAACTTGCTCCCCCCAGCCCGACCAAGCACCAACCGATACCTCCTCCAACCCTGCAGTCCCCCTCGCCCTTCCGGCTCACTCCCAGTTACCTCCTGGGCATGACGTGCTGTGGTATGGAATACCTCTTTGGTCAGTTTGAGTCAGGTGTCCTGTCTCTGCTTCCTCCCAGCTTCCCTCCTCCCTGGCAGAGCATGAGGCCCACAAAGTCCTTGGCCAAACCAAAACATCATTTTTATCAGCTCTGTTCCCAGCTGAAAGTCAAAACACAGCACTGCACCAGCTACCAAGAAGGAGAAAAATGACTGCTACTGCTGAACCCAGGACAGAGGAGACTGAGGGGTGACCTTATTAGTGTATATAAATATATAAAGGGGGAGTGTCATGAGGATGGAGCCAGGCTCTTCTCTGTGGCAAACAATGATAGGACTGAATGGGAAAATTCATTCCATAAACGATTGGCTTCGAGGCTGATGCTGCAGGCAGGGCTTTGGATTCTTTGATAACGGCTGGTTTTATAGGGCACCAGTCTGGACATTGGCATGTGGGAAAGGTTTATCGCACAGAGGCAAAAGGATGCTGGGGCACGAATTAGCAGGGCTCATTTGGAGAGCTTTAAACTAGATTCGAAGGGGGATGGGGTTGTAGCTGGGCTTGCCTCAGTGGGACAGCGCTCTGGAATTGATGAAGACTGGGAGGCCTCCTGTAATCCTAGGGCGAAATCGGTGTGCTCGGCTCGCTCCCTGAAATGTCTGTACGCCAATGCGCGCAGCATGGGAAATAAGCAGGAGGAGCTAGAAACCTGTGTTAAGTCGGGAGATTGTGACCTGGTGGCAATTACAGAGACGTGGTGGGACAGCTCACATGACTGGAATATAGTCATGGAGGGCTATGTCCTTTTCAGGAAAGACAGGCCAGCCAGGCGGGGTGGTGGGGTTGCTCTTTATGCACGAGGGCAGCTACAATGCGCGGAGTTCTATCCAGGGACAGATGACGAGCGAGCTGAGAGTCTGTGGGTGAGAATTAAGGGACAGGCTGGCAGGGGTGATACTGTTGTGGGGGTCTGTTACAGGCCACCGAATCAGGGGGAGGAAGTTGACGAGGCCTTCTACAGGCAGCTGAGAGCGGCCTCACAGTCACAGGCCGTGGTCGTCGTGGGGGATTTTAACTTCCCTGATGTTTGCTGGAAGGACTACTCAGCAACCCAGCCGCAGTCCAGGAGGTTCCTCCAGTGTATGGATGATAACTTCCTCATGCAAATGGTGGATGAGCCAACCAGGAGAGGAGCGCTGCTCGATCTCATCCTCACTAACAAGGAGGGTCTGGTTGAAGGAGTGAAGGTTGAGGGCTGCCTTGGTTGCAGCAACCACGAGATGGTGGAATTCAGGATCTTGTGTGGTAGGACCAGTAGAATAGCAAGCAGAATTGCAACCCTGGACTTTAGCAGGGCAAACTTTGGCCTTTTCAAGCAATTGCTAGGGGAAATCCCATGGGCTAGGCTGCTTGAAGGTAAAGGGGCCCAAGATAGTTGGTTGACGTTCAAGGACTGCTTTTTCCGAGCTCAAGATCAGAGCATCCCAACACGTAGGAAGTCAAGGAAGAGGGTCAGGAGACCTGCGTGGCTAAATAGGGAATTGCTGGGTATGCTCAAGTGGAAGAGGAGAGTTTACAGGTCATGGAAGGAAGGGCTGGCCACTGGGGAAGAATATAAGGCTGCTGCTAGAGGATGTAGGAAAGCTGCTAGGATGACTAAGGCCTCCTTGGAATTAAAGCTGGCGAGAGGGGTCAAGGACAGCAGAAAGAGCTTTTTCAAATACATGGCAGATAAAACTAACACCAGAGGCAATGTAGGCCCGCTGATGAATGGGACGGGTGCCCTGGTGACAGAAGATACAGAGATGGCAGAGTTACTGAATGCCTTCTTTGTCTCTGTCTACTCTGCCGGAGGCAGTCCTGAAGAGCCCTGTACCGCTGAGACCTCGGATGAAGACAGGTCAACGGAGCGGTCTGCCTTAGTAGATGAGGAATGGGTTAAAGACCAGTTGAGCAATCTGGACATCCATAAATCCATGGGTCCAGATGGGATGCACCCGCGGGTGCTGAGGGAACTGGCGGAGGTCATTGCTAGACCACTCTCCATCATCTTTACCAAGTCTTGGGAAACGGGAGAGGTGCCTGAGGACTGGAGGAAAGCAAATGTCACTCCTGTCTTCAAAAAGGGCAAGAAGGAGGACCCGGGTAACTATAGACCGGTTAGCCTCACCTCCATTCCTGGGAAAGTGATGGAACACCTTATCCTTGGTGCCATCTTAAGGCATATCAAGGATAAGAGGGTTATGAGGGGCAGTCAACATGGCTTCACCAAGGGGAAGTCATGCTTGACCAATCTCGTAGCCTTTTATGAGGAAATAACACGGTGGATGGATGATGGCAGAGCGGTGGATGTGGTCTACCTTGACTTCAGCAAAGCGTTTGACACGGTCTCCCACAGCATCCTTGCAGCTAAATTGAGGAAGTGTGGTCTGGATGATCGGGTAGTGAGGTGGACTGTGAACTGGCTGAAGGAGAGAAGCCAGAGAGTTGTAGTCTATGGGGCGGAGTCTAGTTGGAGGCCTGTATCTAGTGGAGTGCCTCAAGGGTCAGTACTGGGACCAGTATTATTTAATATATTCATCAATGATTTAGATGAGGGAATTGAGTGTACTATCAGCAAGTTTGCTGATGACACTAAGCTGGGAGGAGTGGCCGACACGCCAGAAGGCTGTGCTGCCATCCAGCGAGACCTGGACAGGCTGGAGAGTTGGGCAGGGAATAACTTGATGAAATATAACAAGGGAAAGTGTAGAGTCCTGCATCTGGGCAGGAACAACCCCAGGTTCCAGTATAGGTTGGGGAACGACCTGTTAGAGAGCAGTGTAGGGGAGAGGGACCTGGGGGTCCTAGTGGACAACAGGGTGACCATGAGCCGACACTGTGCCCTTGTGGCCAAGAAGGCCAATGGCATCCTGGGGTGTATTAGAAGGGGGGTGGTTAGTAGGTCGAGAGAGGTCCTCCTTCCCCTCTACTGAGCCCTGGTGAGACCTCATCTGGAATATTGTGTCCAGTTCTGGGCCCCTCAGTTTAAGAAGGACAGGGACCTGCTGGAGAGAGTCCAGCGCAGGGCAACTACGATGATTAAGGGAGTGGAGCATCTCCCTTATGAGGAAAGACTGAGGGAGCTGGGTCTCTATAGTTTGGAGAAGAGGAGATTGAGGGGTGACCTTATTATTGTATATAAATATATAAAGGGGGAGTGTCACGAGGATGGAGCCAGGCTCTTCTCAGTGGCAAACAATGATAGGACAAGGGGCAATGGATACAAACTGGAACACAAGAGGTTCCACTTAAACTTGAGAAGAAACTTCTTCTCAGTGAGGGTGACGGAACACTGGAACAGGCTGCCCACGGAGGTTGTGGAATCTCCTTCTTTGGAGACATTCAAAACCCGCCTGGACACGTTCCTGTGTAACCTTATCTAGGTGTTCCTGCTCCAGCAGGGGGATTGGACTAGATGATCTTTTGAGGTCCCTTCCAATCTCTAACATACTGTGATACTGTGACAAGGGGCAATGGGTACAAACTGGAACACAAGAGGTTCCACTTAAACTTGAGAAGAAATTTATTCTTAGTGAGGGTGACAGAACACTTGAACAGGCTGCCCAGGGAGGTTGTGGAGTCTCCTTCTCTGGAGACATTCAAAACCTGCCTGGACACGATCCTGGGTAGACTTATCTAGATGTTCCTGCTCCGGCAGGGGGATTGGACTAGATGACCTTTTGAGGTCTCTTCCAATCTCTAGCATACTGTGATACTATTGTCTCTCATTCACACGCCAATTTACTATCGAAACTGGACAGTCCAATAGCAAAGGCCTGAAGAGCACAGAGAGGATAATTATAGTCCAGAGTGAACACATCTTCTGCTACACGACCAAACTGCATCACAATGTAGTCAGCTGGGGAGGAAAAAAAAAAAAAAAAGAAAAAAAATTATCCAACAAACCCAGAAATTAACAATTTCGTAGCATAGCAAAGAAAAACCACAACCAAAAAACCACAAATGTCTGGCAGTTCCAAATGTATGTGGTTGGTGTTTCCATCCCTTCTCACCAGAGTGGCCTTGTAATCTGCTCTCTAGACTGACTATTATTCTAGAGATTATCTTTCCTTCTCAGAACCAAAGCTTGAACTACTTTCTCTTGCTAGCCTGAAGATACTGTACAGTCCTTTCCTTTCAGGAATCTTGCATTTACCCTCTCTTTTGCTGCAGCTACGGACAGTAGTGTCTGCACCCACCCCAGAAAAAGGGAGGCCTTATATAATTTTCTTCACAGCTGAGAAGTCCCCAGTAATCCTGAGCCGATTTTCTGCAACCAATCTCCCTTTTCCAGGAAGAGTGTCCTATTCCTTCCAAACCTCATGAAATAAATAGGGTTATCCCTGTTTGAATAAGCCACACACACTCTACCAGACTCTTACGGTCATTGTCATGCACAATCTGGAAGTTCTTCACCGAGGCCTGAGTGACTCTGCCATGGAAGTTCAAAACATAGGATTGAGTATCATCATTCCAGACTGGAGCTTTGTTGTGCAACTCAATGAGGTTCTCCAAGTTTTTGTTTTGCCATTTTGACAGCAGACTCTCATGTTCCTGTTCAGAACAAACACATTTATCAGATTTGGAATGGCTCTGCTTTTGATTACTGCCTCTCTCATGTGTGTGTATTCTGTCACTCGATGGTCATTCCCTGTTTAATGAAACACAATGACAACACTTAAACTCAGTCCTACTGAAAACTTCTTGCAATTACCAGGAAGATACTTTAATGGATTCCCCATCCAAGCATTTCTTTCCACTCAATAAGCTATCACCATATTTCCACCCAAACAAGAAAAAAGAGCAAGAGAGAAGGATGTGTGTGTACCGGAAAGGGAGCAACTCACAGGCCAAAGGATGATTGTCATCCTGCTGGCAGGAATCAGAACTGAGTCTCACAAGTTTTCTCTGATCCTGTTGGACCCAACTTTCATTTCTAACAATCTGAACTTTGAAAAAAGGAAAATAATCTACAATTAACTGCATAGTGCCAGGACCTGGGGTGCTTCAGTAGAAAGTCCAAAGGCTGCAGCAGCCTGCGTGTACGCCTTAAGTAGGTTAAATGGGTCTAGTAAGTAATGCACAATATGAAAAGCAGAAAAATAAAACCAGAAAGATACAAAAAGAAGGTAAGACAGCACAATAAATCCAACAAACAATGAATTACAAGGAGCTGTAGTGTGAAATATATGATATATTATTTAATTTTAGAAGTTCTGCAACAAATAAATTCCAATAACGTATGCTAGAGCTCCCGAGAAAAATAATCCAAACTGAAGTTATTTAATGTGGAAAAATTATCAGAAAACACCCCACTGTGCAGATCTGACTGATATGGCTATAGTAAATGTTTTTAGTATACAGATACAATACTGGATTTTTGAGGATAACCTAAATAAAACCTAAATAACCTCCAATCTGAACCATGACCGAACTCTGTAACTCACATTTCGTGGACGTATTGGAATTCGCTTATGATTCATATTCATTCCTGGAATGATCACAGACATTTTTCTGGGACCCTTGAATCCTAACACATTGGTTTCCTGAAGGACAAGGAAAAACATTTTCAGTAAATGAGATACTTCATCTCAAAGAAGGAAAGACAACAAAACTGAACTTGAATCCACATTTATATTGTTTTTTGGAGATCTGCTAGCTACAACTGTAGTAGCAGTTATCTAAATGAAACTGTGTTTTAACCACTGAGAGCAGCTTTCTGTTCTATTTTGAGAACAGTGTTAAGACACATATTACCTAATTTAGAATTCATCAGTTATCCTAATGAAACATTTATAACAAAATCACAGAAGTGCAATTTCCAAGCATAATTTTGTCCATCTGAGGCAAAACCAGGCTAAAATCTTGTTTGTGAAGAAGCCTCAAATACGATAAAAGACAAGTATCTTTGACCTGAGACTATGTTACCCATACATCACCATTTAGGCTAAAACGTTCCTGAAAAAATGAGTGACATTCTTCTTTAGGTGTTTTTATTTGTGTTTAAGAGCATACCTACACTTTTCTCTCAAATCTTGCCTTTTTATAAATGATTAAGAACAGACCCCAAAGGCACACAGTTCAGCACTGTGCAAGCTTCAATCTTGAGCAGATTTTTCCAGAGTACTGCAGGAGACAGCTCCAAGTAGATTGAATATAGAAAACAAAGGGGAAAAAAAGGTCTCGGCATTCCCAAGCCATCCATTCAATAATATCAACCAAAACTCAACGGTCCATTTAAAGTGTTCGGTAACAATGTCAGAGATAACCTTTAAAATTCCCAGAGGCCAAGTAAAAAGTAAAAATCTTTGGAAGTACTGAACTGATTGATAGAAGTGACACTGCTTTTTCTAACACACTAGTGCATTTTGCAGGCACAGAACAGAGGTCTTTGGGTTGCAACCTCTACTATTTTGCTTCAGAAAATTTGGGGCACATATGCGAATGAGAACACTGATTTTATTGATATATAAACTTTATGAACTTCTTGTATATGAAAGTTCAGAGATCTGAAAAAACAACTTTGTATTACCTGCTGTACTCATTCAACAGCTTGCTGTGTACAAGTAGGTAATAACAGAAGAATACTGTATACAAAGAAAATAACCTGACATGATACTGTTATAATAAATGATACTGCTCACAGGCAATGATTTTTTTTCCCCAGGTGACATTATGGTTAATGGGGGGAGGGGTGGGAAATCAAGATCATGCTCCGATAGGTTAATGCACCTTCACATTTTTGTGTCGTACCTGTGATAAAAGCAAAAAACCTTCCACTTCACTATCCATCATTTTGTAAAGAACCTCAAATTTTATTCAAACTTCAGGATAGGAACATGGAACAAACAATGTTCAAGGCCAGGCTGGACAGGACTTTGAGCAACCTGGTCTAGTGGAAGGTGTCCTTGCCCATTGCAGGGGGTTGGAACTGGATGAGCTTTAAGGTCCCTTCCAACCCAAACCATTCTATGATTTTATGATGAGAACCCTCACATAATTCTAGAGCATCCACAACTGCCACCCTGAAGCCTAGACCAAGGTGATCCTCAAAACCAGACGAAAGCATCTCTAGGACAGACAGCTATCAAATCATGATATCCCATGGAACCATATCCTCACTAACCACAAGCTACTACTGAAATAATCCGAGCTCCTTCCTATCCACCAAAATGCCTTTGGTTCTGCAAAACAAAAAAATAACTCTACTTCACAGGGTACTCCCAGTTAATTCTTAGTGTCCATCAAATACCAGCTGGGCAAGAGGCAGTTCATGCTATGGCTGGCTCCACGTAAAGGATGTGCTGACTGGCCACATGCCACAGGTCAGACAAGGTTATCAGGGTGTTAGTTTGCATCTCTCTTCCTCCCTCCCTCCCTCATCACTGATTTGTTTGGGGTTTTTTTTGTTTTTTTTTTTTCCATCAAGCGTATAAGAACTTATCTTTGAAGCCTCTGTCCTTTGTTGTATCTGGTTGAAATTGGTCAGTTGGTTCCAAAGTTAAGTGGGGAAGGCTGCCAGGCAGCATGATTTTGTAAGCCCTGTTTCCTCTGTAACCAGGCAACAAAGAAGAAAGGGGCAAAAGGGGAGAGGCACTACTTACATAACAAATAGCTGCAAGCTCCTGTCTTGTATGAGCCTTTTCCACTAGACCTCGTGCCTTGAGGGGGCTAACTCCACGGTCATAGACTGTAAATTTTGTTCCCATGAGGTTTGATCTAATGTCAGGTTACAGAAAGACAGAAAAAGAGAGAGGTGTCAGTGGAAAGTTTTGTTATCTTCTGAACGTATTTGTACAGCACAGTGAAAACACTCATGTCCTGCCATCTGAATCTTCCAATTGCCAGGTCAGTAAGGAGTGCCCACAGTAAACTGAGCCTGAACCTATCCTGGAAAAACATCGAGCCAGAATTCCTTATGTGAATTGCCACGGTGAGTGGTAACACTGAAGAAAGGTTGCCAACTCAGGTGAATACAGATTACATTAAACAGGATGATGCAAGTCTATTCTCTCTGAATTGACACCAGATTGTTATTCATATCCCCAACTCAACTAAAATGAAAATCCAACCTCTCTTGTCTGTAATTTTCACCTGTGGTTCTTACCTGAGTTTTCCAATGAAGCTTTCCCCTTCTCGGGATAAATCAGTTGGGTCAACTGATATGAGGTAATTGGATGCTTTGCTCTTTTTTCGTTTTCGCCCTGCAAGAAGGAATGTCTGCAAATACAAAACTTCAATCAAGACTGGAGCTTTGTAAGAATGCAGAAGCATTGCTACGCATCGCATTGCTATCCAAACTGTTCTCTCTCCATTTTTCACATCAATTCCCCTTTTTGTTCTGTACTGATATTACTGTCTCCACAGTTCTGGTACCTTCCACAAGTGCACACCCAGAAATCCTATTCCTTTGATCAGCTCACTCAACAGTGTAGATTTAATGCAACTGTCCTTTCTAGTCTTCCCTCCCTTTCTGTGGAGCAGCTCCATCTCCCTTCTCTTCTTTATCCTTAACATTTTTATACTTTTCAAAATTTCATCTTTCATTGTATTATGGCTTTCAAACCTCCCAATTCCCTCCTTAGTGCCTTGGCCTAATATGAGCTGTCCTCATCTGCATGCTGGCTCTCCTCAGCTGTTGGTCTCTTACCAGAAGCTTTCCCTTACACAAAAAAATATTCTGTGGTACGAGTACGATAGCCAAGATATTCTGCTGCTTCCAATACCTTTCTGTTGTCATCCCTTTCCAGATGCATGTAGTAAGTAGGGAAGAGGCCCCGGTCCATTCCCTTCTTATCTCTAGTGATTCGACACTTGACTGTAATACCACGGGGTGCAGGGTGTAATGCAAATTCCTCCAAGTTCTCTACTTCTCCCAGCTGGGCATCTGTTGGAGGGGATGGACTACAGGAAGCACCTGTTTCCTGTGGGAAGAACCATCATATTAGCAAATTAATACAGATCAGAGGCTCTGGTATGGCCCAGGAAAAGAAAGGTCTTTTAAAACAGAAAGATCTCATGTCTCAAGAAGATATTTTGGGAAAAGGAAGTTAAATGAGATACCACCCATATTTCTGTGAAGAAAGTGCCTGCAGCCTTTTACTCTGAGGAAAAATCAGCCCTCCAATGAGAGGGGAGAAAAAGTACCCATTAACCAGAGATGAGTGAATTGTGAAGAAGGGGAAAAAAATGGGATGAGTCACTGCAAATATTCTAAGCAAAGAGCCTCTCTGCTCTTATAATCTCACTCTGTGGGAAATCAGGCAGCATGATAAGCTGGACTGATGGATGCTGCAGTAAAGACAGGCCAGGATTTTTGTGACTGAAACGAGCACTGAGATTATGTTGGTTCAGAACAGTAGCTGAAATAGCTGATGGTGGAGCCGTCTCAACTAAATGCTGGAAGAACCTTAGAACAGTGTATATACTCAGGATGCAAGTTATGGTCACTGATAAAACTGGAATTCTAATTGAAATCTGGTATAAGTCATTACAGTAATTTTTTTCTTAGAGGTAGCTGAATCCTGTGTATTGCAGAACCCAGGAGAGTCCTTCCTTATTGGGCTTTGGAGTTGATGGTGGTGGCTTATCCATATTCTTAGATACAGCTGGTAAGAAGTATGAGTGATTACAGACACACAGAGACACAGACAGACTTGAAATTCACTAGTGGCTCTCACCTTCCCCTGCTACAGCATCCCCTACCTGGTATCTCCAGTAGCTGGCAACCACAGCCCAGTCTCCCAAGTAGCCAACACCCAGATCTCAGAATCAGAACGGTTTGGGTTGGAAGGGACCTTAAAGCTCATCCATTTCCAACCCCTTCCACCACCACAGGCAGGAACACCTCACACTAGACCAGGCTGCTCCAAGCCCCGTCCAATCTGGCCTTGAACACTGCCAGGGATGAGGCAGCCACAGCTTCTCTGGGCAACCTGTGCTGGTGCCTCACCACCTTCATTGTAAAGAACTTCCTCCTAAAGTCTAATCTAAATCTACCCTCTTTCAGTTTAAAACCATTCTACCTTGACTATTCAACTCACTATTTCAGGATATAACTGATATTTTATGACTTCATATTCCATTTATTCAAGCTTACCTGAAAGCAAATAAAGTCTGAACAATTCAGAGAAACAGTTTAAAATACTTTTTGTGCATGTTTATAATTTATAATATTTTTATAATAAAATTTATAATTTTAATGTCTCATTAATTTCTCCTGACACTTCCCTGAGAAACCATTACAAATACATTTTTCACCCCCAGCACCATCTACATTTGTATTTTAATATGAAATAGACCTACACCCACTGAAAGTCAGAAATAACTTGACTAGCCTAAGTTTGTATGAGAAGGCCCATTCTTTTCTAGAGTACAGAACTTGGACAGCAAATAAAGCTTTTGCATATTAGCTGAAAATGCCTAAGTAATTTTTATGGGCATACAGTATTTTTTTTCCAGAGGAATCAGAGTCCTAGCATGTATTTACTACCAAAAAATAACTTCACAAAAAAGTAACAGTAATAGGGACACAACATGACTTTACATATATTTAATACAAGTATACTTTGAGAACATCGTAGAAGATAGTTCCAAGCCAAACAGAAGAAAAGGCCAAGCTTCAAGTACTCCAAAGCAACTTCTTAAACACACTTGATCAGATTTTATTGCCATTTTGCAATTCTTGCAACATTAAATCTTGCTTAACTTTATAAACTGAATAGCACATTATTATTTTTATATTATTCTTAGAAGTTAATCTTAAATATGTGACCACTGCACTGGATCAGGAACAGAGGTAGATACCAGCACACATTTCACTATTCGCATTATGTGGGAAACTCTCTTACTGTTAAGATGAAAAAGCTGTTTATGCCACACAAGAGATAATTTACTGCATTAAATGCAGCAGCCAGAAAAGTTACTTGCTATGAAGCACCTGGCTAGCATTTTGAGAGCAGCCTAACGGCATCAGTTATTGAAATCCAAAAGATCTGGGAGACATACATCTAACACTTTTGAACAATTAAGATCTCCTACCCACACAACAAGTTTTCAAATTGCTAACACATGTTTTGAACAGAAAGGAGATGAAGTGTTAACCTTTAATTAATACTTTAAGCTCTATCACACTAAATATGAATATTTGATCTATATTATAATCTTCATAATTTCTTCATTCTACTTTACCACACAAATACACTCACATTGGTCTTTTGAATAGTAGCATGGACTTTTAAGCCTGCCCAAACCCTGTGCCCTTCATGTGATCACTACCTCAAACCCTGGTTCTTCCCAGGTCTCTTCAACTCACTGGCTAGTACAGTATGTAGTTTGTCAGCATATGTATGTACATATGTATCTCTCTCACACACACACACACACGAGAACATTCATAAAAGAAACAACATGACAGGAGTATCATGCAGTAATGAGGCACAAGGCTTCAACAGACAAGCGTACTGTCTCGCAGCTGCTTACATGCATCTGGTGCCTTTTACTCCCTTTAGCCCCTATTTTCCCGTGCTTATGACTTCCTGATCCACCTTATCCCCTTTCTTCTTCCTCTTCCCTTGCCCTAATCAGTCATGAAAGGTTTCTTCCAATCCCAAAACTTTCTGTTCCATCCCAAAATTCTGTTCCCTCTTACATTCCACAATAAATACTATAAACCTTCAGGCAGTAATCCCTCTTAATTTTGCATGGCATTTCAGAGTTTCTGAGTCATCCTGGTGGCTTTTACACCAGAGACAATGGCCTAAACTGTCCCCTTTGAGAATCATAGGAGTAGCTGACTCACTGTGTTCCCATCTCCACTGATTAGGCTACTCAGGTTCCCCTGCCCACCACTGTTCCTTTAGTCATTACTCAGTCTTTGTGTTTAGCTCAATGGCTCTTCAGTCAGATAACCTGACAATCATGACCTTCCTCTGCCTTCAGGGATTAATATGCTAGCTACTGTAGTTGCAGCTACTATATTTTAACACAGTGCTTAAGGGGTTAGTACTAAAATCAAGCATGTGCCCAGCCCTTATCAGAAAACAATTTCAAGGCACTTACTGTGAAAGATTTCACACTGGTTGCCGAGCTAGGCCTCTCAGTTTCAGGATATGATGAATCAGAAGCTGGTCTCTTACTAGCTTCTTCCTCTTCTCCATCCTCCTCATCAAAATTTAAACTGCCTGAAATTCCTGTCAAAATAAAGCAAGTAACCTCTGAAAGGAGATGTCATGAGTTCGTGGCATCACTAGTTCATATATGACATTTGCATAGCTAGTCACTCTTAATTAATTTCAGTTGATTTAATTAAAATCAACTCCTGATTTTCCTCATGTGCCATATTGCTTCCCAGGACTTTTAATTCAAAACCCTAGTGACATTTTGCAGCTGTCATCGTGCAGATGATTAAACAGTTGTCAGTCTTTTACAAATATTTATTTAAATGATATTAAATGATGTAGCATACTGCTTAATATACACTGTAATTGAGTTAACTTTGCCTATTTTCACGTAAAAAAGCCAGGTCTTAAAAAATGAAGGAAATCCAGATGAATATACTGACACCTCCACTGTAAACTGGACTCCTTACAACTTACATTCTTTACCATTTCCCCTTAGTCTTATACACACCGAAATGAAGCAGGACAATTTTTCTAGAAGAGCCCCTCCTATTCTTACATCAGTAGCAATAACCCATGTCTCATGAACACTACTGATGATTTTGTTTTTAAAACAGAAGTGCAGTCTGAGTAGTTCCAGGACTTATTTAACCTTAACCTAGTCACAGCTATGTAGAGGTGACTGTAGGTATATAACTAAACTCCCGATAAAAACATTTTAAAGAATGTTTATGTGTACAGAAGCACACATAACTGCTTGGTGCTTACTTGGAACTGTGTAATTTTACTCTGAGATTCCATTCTTTAATTTGGCTGTAGAATGGAAAGCACATAAAGCACTACAGAAAATAAACACACTGAATTATTTTCCAAGAGCAAATATTATAACACTACTCCAACATGGCACTCCTGGAAGTTCTTTATCTCAGATGAAATAGAAAAATGTAGTCTTAACAACTTGTCAGTAAGCTTCAAAAGCACATTTGGAAAGAGGAAAGGCGTTAACCTTAGTACTCAGGCCAATTTCAGAATTTACTGTTTATATTCTATCTCTACTATTTTCCCCTGAAGTTTCTGGATATACTCTCCTACCTCCTTCCCTAACTCTTACATTAATGTTCCTATCCATAGGTAAGAAGCTGTTGCATCTGACAACTGAATGGATGTATTTCTAGATGTGGTAGTACCTTAATACCTAAACCATACTGGAAACGTTCTGAGAGACATGCTCAGCAAAATAAAAATAAGCTGTGCACTATATTAAATGCTAGCCATTATTCTGCTGCAAAGTGCTTAGGCTGCATTCAACAAAAAAGGTTTCCTATGGTACTGGCAGACAGAGATGGACACTCCACTGGGAAACTACTCAATGGCATATAGCTATTGAAACTGTTGATTATGACAGCTTCTGACTCAGGAAAAACACCTTTCCTGGTGTTTTTCAGAGCCTTGAAAAAATCTTTGTCTATTATCAACTCTTAATGCCCATCAATTCTTAATGTCAAGATAATGCCCATTATATTACCTCGTTTCTTTAAGATTTCTTGCAGATCTGGCTTGCCTGCTGTGTCTGTTAGAGCCTCTCCATCATTTTCCTGATCTGCATTGTCTTCTGTTTTGGAAGATCCAGCAGAGAGAGTTTGGAGCTTGGTCCCCAGATCTTGCACTTCTGATTTCAGGAAAGCAGCTGGTCCATCAATACCTGCAGGCCAAAACAGAACAGAATGCTCAAGTATACTTTTGTGGCTAAAGACACATGCCAGGATGGTTGTTATTTACATCTTCCTTGCTCAATCATCCCTTTAAAGTACTGATGTCTTCTTGTTCGATTTTGATCAGAAAACTTGGAAGGATCCAGGCCTGACTGGTACAGCCAGCCTATTACTTTAAACATTCCAGACTTCAGGTTCTCTATTTATAAATACAGCCACTGTATCTACTTTTTTACAAGGGCTTAAGCAGTTAAAATGAGTTGTATTTGTCATGCACATTGATATATTTTAATTTATTTATGGGCAATTCCTCTATTTTCTTTTCCTTCATGTTCCTCGTTTGCTCCTAAACTAAAAAGTAAGTGCTTTACAGTGCACACTGCAAGTAAATTTGATAAAATTATCTACAGGCACAGGCAGAAAAAACTATAAACTATGCCCTCTTTTTGGCAGAAAACAAATTTCCACATTTAAGCATGCAATACAGCTGTGCACTGTCCCTAACTGGTGGAGATGCCTTGATGTCAGGGTCCGGCCTTAATACATTTATATGGCACACAATATGCAACTGCAGTTTCAGCTTTGGATTTCTTGCTTTCCCACTGTTTTCCTTCTTAAAACTTTACTGCTTTATCTAATCAGATTTCTGACATGTTTACTCCTGTTATCACTTCTTAACAGAATTTGTTTGCACTGACAAAGCTTCAGAATGATGTAAACTAATGAAGGAGCAGTTAGTTTTTATTTTTCTTTCTTGTATTTTCAGTACTACTGAAGTTTCCTAACTTAGAAATTATATCAATCATTTTTACTTGAAATGTCTTTCAACAGCAGCCTTCTCCCACTTGATTTTAATCACATAAATGCTACCATCCATCATCACTTTCCTCCCCATCCTATGATCCTGAAAGACACCTGGAGAACAGAACATGAAATCATTCAAATCATTTTTACATTTGTTTTCACCTCACACCCTGCCCCCTCAAAGTCTTATCTCTCAATAGAAGATAGGATAACGTGTTTCCAAATGTGATCTTCAAGCCAAGTAACACTGGTTTGTTTGGGTTTTTAAAATTCTACTCTATTCATTAATTCCCTATTAACAAAATTGTGGTATTTTAACATCCTGCAGTAACATGCATCTCTAAGCCTTTGGCTAGTTCCTGTTACTTTCTTGATGGTCTGTTGTGATCCATGCTCTCGAACTACACTTCCAGGGGAATATACAGATTTCATTGCTGCTCTTTTTGTTTCACCGTGACATGGAAAACTTAATGCTCTCGATACCGTACTTGTTTTCACTTTTCACAGAATGGTTTCTATTTTACTGTAATGTTTGGAGATCACTAAGTTACTGCCACTGCCTCTGATGTCACTTTGTGCTTGTGACTTTCTGGACTGTTATAGCTTGCTTGTCATGTTTCAGTTGTCTTCCTGAAGCCCACAGGAAACAACAGAAAAAACCCAGAAAAAACCTAATTCAGTATTCATAAGAATTTTGTTTTGCTCTTGTCTACTTTATCATTCAGTCATGAGTATACCATGATGAAAAGTACAGGCTGTCACTACTGGATTATTTCCTTTTTTTTTTTTTTTATCCTACAGCTTTGTAAGACTCTCTTACACTGGGTTTGTGTCTCCCTACCTTTATAGAAGTTCCTAACCCATTTCTACAAGTCTTCTTAGTCTAACACAAGGGAGATGTTCTTCAAAGGCACATGAAGATTCTCAGCTATCACAAAATTCAAGGTAAGGTTTTTGGTTTATTGCTCAACCATACTCTCCTACAGTTCTTTTTTTGTACATATAAAGGTATGTAATCAGTCTTGTTTATCACTTGATCACTGTCACAGCAATGTGGTGCCCATCTGCAACATAAAGTCCATGCACTGGTATTTTTGGGAACATTGTTCCAACCAGGTTGATTACTTACCGTGTAAAATAACATCACTGTGGAAAGGGGTAGGAGTTTTTACTAAAGGAGTCTGCTGCTCGTACCCTTTGGGCTTTGACCTATGCAGCTTTGCCTCAGGATTTGGCTGCACCATCAAAGGATCAAGACGCTTCTTCCTCTGCTTTTTCTCTAAAAGAGCTCTCTGTGAAATAAAGAAAAGGCATGACATAAGGACCACATTCAAAGAGGCAGCTATTGGTGATATTTCATTGGTGACATTCAGCTCAGCTATTGGTGATAAACACGTCACTGATCAGGATCTCCAATACACCCAAAATACTCTTGTAATCTCTTACAAAAATCCTAGGCGCATATCACTTTGTCTTTGGAGTGATCCCTGTCTCTGATTCTCTGTCAGTGGGGATGGACGCCTGCTTGTTTTCTGATCTATCATGAGAGCATCAGCAGTAATTCCTTTCATCCAGTCTAAACTGCAGCAATCCTTCACATATGTAGACAAATTCATCAGTCATTTATAATACAATTTGAAACAGTGAGGACTTACAAAAGAAATGCTTTTTTGTGTGTCAGAAGCTATCATCTTAAACGGAGAACTCAAAACAAATAGTTCCCAGAAACCAATACTAAAGAGATAAGACTTGGAGGGGGCAGGACGTGAAGTGAAAACAAATGTAAAAAAATACAGTCATTAAAATAGGACTGATCTAGTAAAAGGAAAATTCATCTACCTTGCAAAATTTTCCAAGATACATATATATTTGATGTTTATGGTTTCCTAGTAAACAAGAACAGAAACAACTGCTGCGGCAGCAGGAACTGTGATGCTATGAAGCTATGACGGCATTAACGAAACCTCGTGTCAAAAGCACCCTACCAACTGCATTCAGAAACAGGCTTCCAACTTCCCGCTCTCCACCCACAGGGAGGTGGCAGCATTACACTTTGAGCTGCAAGTGCCGCAAAAAGACACGGAAACGCCTCTAGCGCCGCGTTCGTAAGCACTATCCGAGGAGCCATACGCCCTCTGTTCACGGAAAGCGCAGTAGCCTGGATAAAAGCGTCCTGGCCGGCATAGCTGGCCCACAGATGGAATTTGATGTCATGAACTGTGAAAAACTGAGACCCATAACCTAATATTTGACAAATGCTTGGCTGTAAATGTTTTCTGTGTAGGAGACAAGACAAAACAAATCAAAATACGCTGGAAATCCTTCTCAGCAGCAGAGATCTTTCTATAGCTCAGGGAAACCTTTTCTTTTCCTTTAATGCTTAAAATGGATAATTCTCTACAGCCTTCCTTTTGATACATTCCTGCATTGTGGTGAGTCAATCCCAATTAAATGAGAGACATAAGAAAAATAAATATACCAAAGAAATCAAGCAGACAAGCCATAGCAAGGTTGACTTAAACTAATGAAAGCCATTAAAATCTTTAAAGAAAAATATTCTTGCCATAGCAATGAGTTCTTGTTTGTGTTCTTAACAACTCCTATTTCTCAAGTCAAGGCTAATATTTATTTTCCTGTACTTACTTCAACCAGCTTCAACACTATCATTTACCTGATTCTCTAGTTTCAGCTGTCGTAGTTTCATGGTTTCATCCTCAAAGATGCTGGGAAAGGGAAAGAAACAAATTTGCATTATAAGAGCACAAGATATTCGCAGGCTACAACTTCACCATCAAGACTTTAAAACAAGTGTAAAACATCTATCCCACAAGAAGACCAAGTTACAACACATTAAAAAATAAAACATACATTATATTCTGTCACAAATAGGACCAAACTGTAGCTTAATCACCTTAGTAAACCATTCTGAAAATATTTTGTAAGCAACAAAACCTTCATTACTGATGGACGAATTGTAGTGAGGTGGGCTATCTGAATTTATACCTGAAGGATTAACACAGTTCAAATCAATTCAATAAAGTCCCTGCTCCATAAAATACCCAATTCCAAATTAACTCAGATTTTTAGGTTCTTGGAGTTAAACCTACACCATTTTCTCCTGCCAGAATTCCCAGAACTACAGTTAATACCTGCATCTGTATTTGCAACACCTGATACCTGTTCCTAGAGATGAAAAAATGATTTGACTATTTAAATTTTATAGATAACTTTCATAAGAACGCTAGTTTTTCATCCTAAATTGTGTTCCACAGAGATTTCCCATTTCCTTTTGCATGATAGTGAATTATTACATAAGCTTTGTAAGTTAACCTTACAAAGGGGGAAGGCTAATTGGCAAGTAAGCACATATTCTGCCTACCAAAGCTGTGCACCTTCCTCCTACACAACTTTGACAAAGACCTCTCTGGCAGTGAGAAAGCATCATGAAGAAGATAATAGGAGAAACAGACAAACATTATATGTTTTATGATGGCATGCAATAGAGCAGGGCTAGCCACAGTTGCAATTTAAACAGGAAATTCTCTGTCTGGTCTAGGTGTGTAGAAATATCCAACCATGTGAAGTCACAAGCAGGCAGGCAATGCTGAATATAATCCAAACAGGGAAAACCAGAGACAGAGAGATGGGCTGGAGTTTCTGCAAAACACATGCCATAGGAATTGGATCACAGCAAATAGAGCTAACGAGAAAGGACTCAGAATCCCCTTTACTCCTAGTAAAACCTCATTTGACTCAACTTCCAGGTAAGCAAACAACAGATCAGAGGTCCTTACAGACATACTATGCCAGCCAACACATCCTGTGCTGGGAGGCTGAAACATGTAGAAGAAAAAATTTTGTATACACACAGCTTATATACTCTAAAATTGATGCCTCTTGCCCAGCTACTGGTATTATAAAGCACTGTTATTACTGCCATTGCTTTTTACATTGCAGCTTTCCTTATTTATTTTTTTTTCTTCTCCTAATGTATTTCAAGCATCATCACTTAGGAGGTCTAGGACCTTGAAAACACCTTGCTTCCAAAACCTGGTATTACTCCTCATGTGGACCAGTCGTGTAGCACATTAAATTCAAAGGAGTCGAGGGCCTGGAAAAACTGTTTACTTTCTTGAAGAGGGAATGAGAGGTATTGCATGTCCCTACAGCAACAGTTACGGTAATACAGTTGTCTTCACCTGAAAACATCCACAGTTTAAGAAAAAAAACATGCAGAGACACATCTACTGAGTGCAGCAAGATCCATTAGTTGCCACATAAAACTTCAACATAAAGTAAAACCGTGACGTGCTTTTTATGAATGCTTGAAAGCTCCACTTAAAATCATAATTAAGAAACAAAGGGGAGGGATATTCCTTTCCGTTTATTTTCTTATGCCCACTGACTTAAGAAATTTGTTAACAGTAGTCAAGTGTTTCTTACAAAGCAAGCTATGTAGCTCTTATCAATACTAGATTTATGGACACATTCTTATATAATTAAAACGGACTACAACGATGTCTCCTGTAGATACAAGCTTGAATCTGTGGTTTTATTGCTTTTCCTAACAGAAAATTGACTAAATTTCCAGGTCTTCCTTCCTAGAAGGATGGCAAAATGCTGAAATATGAGGACTCATATACACGTCTTGCAGAAATCCTTAATGAAAATTATTTTCTACCCACGCTGGAATAAAGCTACATAATGTCAAAGGCAGGTCTAAAGGTCCGTGGAACGGGACCGTAACACAGACTATACAATGTCCAACCTCCTACTGCCTAACCGAGACTTGGGCATGGTTGAAACGCATAAAGATTCTAACAGGTCACAGAGGTTGATAAAGTAAAAAGCAAGCAGTGTTCTCTTTTACAATTTACTGTTAAACACAGACCAAAATCACCTTGTAGCAGGCCACTAAGTGAAAGCAGTCACCAATTCTTCTCATTATAAACTGCAAGGATCCACACAAGGAACAAAATTAAAAGAAACAAAGCCACAAATGAGCACTGTGGCACTGTAAATAGTGCTAAAAATACCCCCAAAGTAAACCCACTATTTTTATTCACTCCTCCTGGGACCTACCTTCCAGCGCTTGGTCATTGTTAAGGTGTAAGGTAATAACCAGACCAAAAAAATCTTCCCACACATACACACACTTTACACCTTTTTCTACCCCCCACAGTGGGTTTGGTGTTACTACAGACATTACAGGAAACGCTGTGCTAGTCACTCCAACAGCTCATCACAAAGGAATGCAAGCAGTGTGCTGATACAGCTGCAGGCTTCAAATGCAAATCCTCCTTCAGATGGACTTACTACGCAGACTTGTACATCCAAGTGCTCTTTGAACATGCCCACGTTGAACCACTGTGCTCTTAACTATGGCTTTTTATTTGAAGGGGTTATGTGTAGTAGGAATTAAATATCCAGTAGGAACAGGAAAAATACTCTGCATCTCCATGTATGCAACAGTGTTCTAAACACGAAAAAACCTCCCCAAAACACAACCACCAAAACAGTCACCCGTTTACCTTTGATAAATAATAACTGAAAAAATCCTGGTAGCCTGTCATGATCTTCCTCTTCCCAGTCGCTGGAGCGGACTATACAAGACCCTGCCCCTGACTCCTCTGCTATATTCACCAGAACTCTTAAGGTCTCCTGTTAAAGCTACATGATGGGTAACGGACACATGTCAGAGAGAAAGGAAAAATGACTCGGAGTGTAATGTAGAAGTGAAGAATAATTATTATCTAGGATACAGAATAAAAAAGAGTGTGTGAACAACTAGCTACAAGAAACACTCAACTGAGAAGATACAACAGTATGTCTGAATGTGAACAGCAACACATAAAGGGGTTCACAGATCCATTTGTCCTCACAGATCCTTTTCTAGATTCAACAGACTAACATGAAGCAAAATGTTTTATTTTTAACCCTCACATTCCTGCTGAAATCAGAATTAAGTCTTCTTCTCATAAGCAGAAATTAAAATGTTACAATAGGAATATGAACGACAAATTTATTATGGTTGTTTTTATTTGGTCTTTCCTAACCATTTTGGGAATATCAGACTAGACACAGTGAAGAGATAACTTTAGAGGTCCTTAAATTTTTAGCTGTTTCCATTGCTCTGCTTCCTTTAAAGGAACTCAAAGCCACAGTAAACTAACATCATTTTCATCTACAGATATTACAAACTTGCCAATACATTATGTTCCATTTCTTACTCATGTAACTCCTTTTTCTTTTGCAGGACAGTTTATTAATGTGGTGGCAGTAGTTACGTCTCTCAGCAACACTCCCAGAACTTAAGAATCAGGGAATGAGAAGGATGTGGCTTATGGCACACATTTTTGTCCACTAGATTTTATTTTTAGCTGTAGAAGCACAAGTAAAACCAACTTCAGTAAGAAATGAAGGGGTTTTCACTCAACTCTCCAAAGAACTTTCCTGGGAACTACATCCGAACTATGGCTATGAAAGAAAACAGAAGCTGTAGAAAAGAGATCATTTGAAGAAGAATTCTTATATTTTAAAAGATTATACAATACTGTCTCTGGAAAATGGCTGACAAACAAAATTTATCTGTAATGCACCTTCCAATCCACAAAAGAGAGGAGTCCCATCTGCTTTCCTTGCAACAGACACAGCTCATTTCTGGGAAAGGGAGTAACACAGAACAATAGTAGTGAGGATTATCAGTGTTTTCTGCCTTCCCCAAGGCAGAAAAGCAGACTTTTTTTTGGCAAACATGGAATATTCTTTCCTTTATAATTAATTTAACTACCAGTAAGTCTTTCAAGGTAAACTGGGTTGGCTATAAATTGGCCATAAAATGTCACCCCCATTTTTAAGTGACACAGGTTGCTATGTAACAGTTCTTATAACAGCATTTCAGTTATAAATTATTTTCAAGCAGTTGACAGTTCAACAAGAGCAAGTTTTAACCTCTGTCTGGGTTTTTACATAAAGAATGCTATCTCCCAGTGAAATCCGTTTTACCTTTGATTCCCTCTCCTAAATAAACATGCACAGATTCCTAATGCCAACAGCGTACTGTTTTGAGAAAGGTTTCACAAAATTCATTTGGCATGATTTTCCACCTGCTGAACATATTACGGGAGCAGTGACATGGCAGCAGAGAACACTATTTTGGGAGCAATTCTGAATGAGTGAATATATTATCATGAATAAAGATTGTCTTGGATATGCTTTAATATACAAATTATGTCCCACATGATACAAAATGCATAAAACATCGCAGATTATTTGAAAAGTACTAATAAAACCAACAAAACCTGCCAAATCAGGGTGGGGAAGCAGAAAGACAAGCATCCAGCTCTGCGTGTCTTACTCCACTGTAAAATACACCCAAATACTCTAGGCACTACATGTTCCTGACAGTAACTTGTAGCAACTATCTGAACAACTTACAACTTACTCAAGAAGATCAAATGAAATACAAAGGCAAGTTAGTCCTTTAATACACTTGCTTCTACCTACCTCTGAGTTTAAAAATGGAACTCCACTGTAATCAGGTACTTTTCTTAAAGGCCATGCTTTAAATCATGCCAATCCTAACCAACACCCCTGCCCCCCCCAAAAAAAACCTCAAACCAAAACCCACCATCCTCACCGCCACAACAAGCTGGCATTCTGAAATATATACAACTTTTTTCTTTGTATATATATATATATATATATTCTTTGTCTATATACA